ATTTACTGACTTCATATTCAAGTTCTGGGTTTGAACAGCACTTTTTATGAGAAGTTTGCAGCTGTGCATTGTGCAAAACTGAACTTAACCTGTCTGTCACTAGAGGACCCAAACTTGGGTCCTCTAGTGACAGGGGTGTCAAACTCCAGTCCTCAAGGGCCTCTGTCCTGCAACTTTTAGATGTGCCTCTGCTGCACCACACCTGAAAAGAATAATTAGGTCATTAGCAAGGCTCAGGAGAACCGATCTACACAGGGAGGAGGTAATTAAGCCATTTCATTCCACTGTTTTTTACCTGTGGCACATCTACAAACTGCAGGACAGCGGCCCTTGAGGCCTGGAGTTTGACAACCCTGTGACATTCTGAATGACAACCTGAGACCAACAGGTTAACTGAGTAAAACATCCTTGATTCCACCTGTAATGCATACCTGTTTATCCTCAGGGATTTGGGGGGCGGGGACAAGTGCCCATCTCCAGTGGTCATTGGTGGAGAGGTGGGGTCCATCACAGGGTCCTAAAATGACTTAATAAGACTGTGATTATGTAATACCGAACAATGAACTCAATGTGAGTTTACAGTTTATATAATTTATTTAATACTTTAATTCAGAGGATGTGGCCAATGCAGCACAAAAAGCAGCAACAGAAAATTTTACCTGACATATTGCTATTCCTACTGATAAAATATGAATATTAGTTTGTCATTAAGGAAACAGACGGTCTGTTTTGGAAAAGATCATCTATGATTTTAATTTTTATAAGGAAATAGAGGTCAGCCAAAAAAAATTTATTTAGAAAAAAAACTTAACCTTTATGCTGAATACATATAATTTTATTTTTATGGGGTTCAATTCCTGATCTTGGGATGTTTGTGTCTTTCCACCTTCCTCCTCTTCCCATCTGCTACATCACTCGCACCACAAAAACATCTTACAAAAACACTGCTCAGGCTGTAGACCAGATCTTTTTCAGCAGTAAGATGGGGGGGGGCGACAAAGCCTTTTCTTCTAAATGTCATAAAATATAATGCTTTCAAAGAGATATGAAGTGTTTATTCCATACTGACGATCCTCCAAACCGAGCCGATGAAGCTTAAAAGTAGCCATGGGCTGCTTTGGTTCCAGTGTGACAACTTCATCACGCTGGTTGGCACTGAAGGCACACACACACACACACACGCATTCATACGCATGCTCCCACACTCAACATATGGACTCTTGTGGTGACATATGACCATATGAGAGCTGATATGCAGACTTTCACACTCAAAATGAAACGCTCCGGCGTGCATGCTGCCCTACAATGGCACTCCCACATACATATACACTCACTGTCTCTTCCAGCCAGATGTAAGTAGGATTAGTGAAATTGGCAGCCAGTACAGAGCTCTTTATCCACTGGAGCTAATTCGCTTTACTACAGTAGCGATCCCCAGCTTTTTCATCAGTAATCAGCTTTTCTGTCTTCACCTTTTGATTTCTCTGTTTGTTTCTTTTTGTGTTAACATTTCTCTTATATTTGTCTCCAATCTCATCTCTTTTACTCCTTACCCATTTGCCCTCTGCCCTCTCTGTTGATGCAGCATGCAGGGAACTGAGAGCAGGTGTGACTGCAGGTTTATGACTCTGGGATTTCAAGTTTTGAGGAGATAGAAGTGCTTGGATGGGTGATAACTACGCCTGCTGCTTTTGTCAGTAACAAAAGTTGAACGATAAAGCAGTAGTAAACAAATACTCAAGGTCATTTTCATTAATTTATTTATTTTTTAATGTTAAGGCAGACGTTGCCCGGGTATGTATTTCCATCTGAGTTGAAATGGTTCAGATGTGACCCCAATGCCAGCTTGTAATGTCTGACTGAAGACAATGGATACCTGGTCACAGAGGACAGTGTAACAGTAAAATGCAAAAGTACGTGAAATTGATTTCCTGCATCCTTACAATATAGTTTTACATTCTGCTAGATCTCAGCCATGAAGAACTGAGCTACCTACAGAGAAAACGACTGCTATAGAAACTGCCCCCCTTTTCAGGAGTAAGAAGAGGAGGAGTTTCAACAAATGAAGCAAGGTAAAGCATCTTCCACGTAACCCTGGATACGATGTAAATATTTAGTCTACCTGAATATTGGCTGAATTCTGATCAAGGAATAAGCCTTGACCTTGGGTTATTTGAAATTCTGCAGAAAGAAACTTTGAATTAGACATTCCCCAAAAAGAGACGCTGCCATTGTCCCGAGAGAAAAGAACTGCAGAGCTACGAATGTGTGACAGCCGAGCGTAGTGTTCCTAAGCCAAACGTTGCAAAAGACCCTCTGATCACGCTTGCCCCAGGCCGGAGAGTGGCGCCCGGAGCTCAAAGAAAAAGAAACTCAACCCCTAACATATTCTTCGCCGTGCCGTTTGGTAGCAGCAGCTATTTCCCGGTTTTCAGCTGGCAAACACTGAAAAGACTCCACTTTTTCCATCCACCGCAACAACCTTTTTCATTGTTTTTTTGTTCCCCCCCACCCCACTTCTGCTTCAAACTGCTTTTTTGCTCATTAAAAATAATTGCATTGCTCTCAACAGCTGTCATTTTATCCCGTTTCACTAACCAAGAAAGTTGGACCATAAAAGTTTTCAAAATTTTGTACTTTACCTCAGATTCCAAAGGTGAAAGCTAAACACTGTGCTAATGCTAAGCTAAGGCATAGCTGTTGTTGATTGCACTGTTTACAAAATTGCTTTCTGCTTTTGTGCACCTTCTTTTACCGCCGGTGTTATTTCAAGCAGAAACAAAAGGTGAAGCGAAAACAAAGCACATGAACTGCATCATTTATCACAAAAGACAAAAGAACAAATAGCTCCAGCTGGTTAATACATTTTGGGGATGAGTACAATAATAGCTGATAACAAGGTATTAGGTCTTTGTGATTAATCAATATATATCTTAAGGTCACCATCCTCAAAACCCAGAACAGAGAATAGAGTAATAGTTCTTTATACTCTGGTATCATAACCAGAATATATCCAAAATATTGTTTTTTTTTGTTTGTAATCTGTTATTTCAAAGGATATTTTTGGAAGTACGAAATGCAGAATATATTTGATGAAGGATAAATGTAATTTGCTCCAATAGAAAAGAAAAAAATAATATAAAAGCAATTCTTAATCTACCGGTCCACTGTGAAGTCGAGGATGAATGTCTTGCTCATGTGGATGAGTTCGTACGTCTCCGGAGTTTGTTCACAAGTAAAGAAGTGAGTGATGTGAAGAGCTAGACTTTTGCATGAATAGCGAACTCTTGCAACCAGTACTTAAGGGGAAACCGAGAAATCCATGGCAACTTTTGGACTTTCTATGCAGCCTATTTTCCTAGCATTGCTACTAGCAAAGAAATGTTAGCTTTGACCAGGCCGATTGCAGATTAGTTCAATTTACATTTTGTCTAGGATGAGTCCTGAAGATATGCATGCTTCATCTGTCTGCACTGAAAGGAGAAATGTTTCAGGCATCTGATAACTGACATTGCAGTACGAGAAAAATCACATCCAGAGATTTACAAGTACAATATATTCTTATGGGACTCATTGCAGATAGCCAAGTTTATTCTCTGGACAGTGCACATCACGTCTGAATTTCCAAGCAATACAAAACCTTTTTCCATCCTCATGAAATTTCCCCAAATGATGCATCAAGGCAGAAAGACATCAGCAATACTGGAAAATGGCCCACCTATATATGAAGGCAATTTCCTATAACCTTTCAATACACCCAAACATTTTAAACTATTGCTAATAATCGAAAAAGTTAACAACCCTGAAAGGTCACCTGAAGGTCTTACTTTGAAAAGCTCCCAAACAAAAAAAAAGAGTTTCCTGTCAGTCTTTGCATTCTTTAATAAAATAAAAAATTGTTAAGGAATGTGGCATTAAAAGTAGAGACAAAATAAAGCAATATAAAATAAAGTAATGCTTTAGTCATGTTTGCAAAGTTGAATCTCAACAAAGAAGAAACACAAGGTTGTGTCAGAGTAGAGTCTCTTGAAAAAAAAAACAGAGTCCAATTACAAATATGACCTGCAATCCCAAGTATTCACACTTTAAAAAAGATCCTCTGTGTTTATGTTTCATCTTTGGCAGTATTTGATGAAACTGGCTGGATTTAGCAAGCAGAGGCATAGTGACCTCCTGCAGTCATTCAGTCATTCACCAACAGAGAACCACCATGACACCAGCACTGAAATTTAATTTGCATGAGATCTGACCACTAGGTCAAGATTTAGTATCGGTACTTTCAACATACCACACAGAGAACACACACTGACAACTTTTTTGCAGACTTAATTTAAAGTTGAATTGATAGATTTTATAACACCAGAGGTTTTGGGATGATTCTTCTTAGTTTTAATATCATAATTGTATTCCTTTAGTCATAGAAAATAATTTTTTCTCAATAATTTAACCCTCCTAAATGGAGAAAGTAAAGGGCTATGTTGGTAACCTGACTATATCACGGCTAGTTTTTATTTTCATTTTCACATCATGTCAGATTGTGACATACTGCAAAACATTGCATTTTACTGTGATGTATTATATGTACTCTACCATGTAATGCAGGTGACACTAAAAACAACAATTAAATGTTGGCTTGCAAAATCCTGCAAGTTATCCTAAAATTAATTGGATGCAAAAATGGTAAGATGGCCTACAAATGGGGACTTTTTGTGTCTCTGAGTAAATAAACTTGAATGAAAGCTAATGGTTAAGCTTTTGGCAGAAGCTGCTTCAGCCATTTTGGTTAATATAAAATTTGGCTGGAGTTACTTAGAGCCCTCTCTTAAAACTGCAATTCAACACTTGGATTTGGATCTGAAGAGTGCTTGGGCAAGTCTATTAGAGCTGCCTCATGAGAGGATTCTCTTGAGTTTGTTAATTACGTCACAATTATGAAAAATATAAATAAATAAATAAATAAATAATTCATTGCATTACCTGAAAGCAAAGCAGCACGCTTTTTCAGTGCACAGTTTTGTGACAATCTTTGTTTTCAATATCAACTTTAACGTTTTCAGCACACAAGATAAGAAAAGAGAGTTTAAAATTTTATTAGTTTAATTGATGAAATGTCACATTTCTTTTACAAGGACAAACGGGACACAGTTGGCAGGAACGTAGCTGTAAAGATTATATTTTTTCTTAGCGATTCGTCTTTTACATGTGAAGGTTTACATCCTCAACAGACTTAAGGGCAACATAACTGCAGTCTGTAATCTCTTTCCGATTATGTACGATGGATGTAGAGGAAAAATGTCAAACTTCTTGTTCAAAATAGAGTTTTTGAAAACCTCAAAGAATCCCTTGACCTCCCACGTTAATGGTTTAATTGTGTCCTCACCAGTAACCTTTAACTAAAACTGGTTTGTTCAAGCAGTGGAAGAATTGTTTATTTTTATTTTTATTTTATTTGTTTGGTATTTCTGTGAAGATGTTGCCACCTGAAAAAGAACTCAATATAATTAACAAAAAAATTCAGTACTTAAAGAAATGGCTAATACCAACTCTGTTATAGAATAATTTTAATTATTTATGCTATTTATGTAGTAAATACAAGACGATTTCATGCTCATTTACTCTCCAGTAACATATTTTTGCCATAATCCATATCAAGGTTCACCATTATGCACATGCTTAAATTTTAGCTACTCAGTTAATATAATGCATTCTGTGATATAAATGCAGTATTTTCACTTATTTACAGCATAAACCATATTTGAGAGGTTAACCACTTTTCATAAAAAAAATTTCCATTTTCCTCCAGGGTCCTTTTAAAGAATACTTTCTGAATGCACAACATTTCTGTGAAGGGTTTGAACCAGTTTGACCTCTGGAGAAAGAAAGAACGCTCTCCATTTAGAAATAAAAAATATGATAAAACAAAGAAATAAGCACAAGTAATATTGATCTAAAAAAAAAAAAAAACTACCCAAAATTACCAATTTAATTTATTTTCTAACTTAATTTAAACTTCCTACAGCATTCTTTTCACTGAACAAACCACACCAGCAACACTACATACAACCCCCAGACTCAGAATAGACATATCTATCAGCCGCTCCTGCACAGCGAGCCGTCCCCACCGCAGCTTCAGATGAAACAGACATGGGAGTATGAGTGTCATCGCCGCTCCAGTCACACTCCCCGTCAGCCCCATTAGCAGGGAAAACCTGGGCACTAGCAGGGACAGTAAGTACGAAGACAACAACAAGGCGCCGCGAACCATCAGAGTCGGACAAGAGACTCCCTGAGTTCTCTGTTTGGAAGGAGATGAGAGGGAAGCATCTGGAGAGAGATCCAAGGAGAAAGGTTGGAAAGAGATGCAGCGCTTTTGCTAGTGGCAAGCTCTGTTGACCACGCGAGGAACTTCTGCTTGTGGTTGACTCTTGGTTTTTTAAACTGTTTCATTTCATCAAATTTGAGGAACTTCTAGGAGATCATATGCATCTCTTTTATTAACATGAAGTAGCTCCTAAATATGGAAGCACTAAACTAAACTTTCTGGTGTTAACAGATGATGTAACTTTTTCTTTAAATGTTTCAACATCTTTAATTGTTACTTGATTATCTTCTTGTGCTACGTTACCCACTTTTCTTTCACATGTTTATGTCAGCATACAAATACAGTGTTGTACTGATCTTCAAAACTACTGATGACCTTATCTTCTAACAGAAGTAGTGCACAGAGAGAAGAAATTCCAACTTAAGTTATTTTAATTGAGCTGAAGACCAACTTACAGCTCATCCTGCACACAAGGTTGGAAACTAGCAACCCCCTCTGGCCACATAAAGGTAATTTTATTTTTAGTTAAATTAAGTTCACATCCAGAGTGCATGTTATCAAAAATATCATCTTAAATCTACTTTTCAAAAACGGAAAAGACAAACAAAAAACATCTATTTTTTTATGCATAAATATATTGTCAATTCAATCCAATTATAAAAAATAGATTTAAAGTCAGATGCACATATTTCAATCTGATACCAGCTGCTTAACTTCGCTTCGAAGCTCACAAGGTTACTGCAAACACCATTATGAGTTGAAGAAGAACAGATTAGCCTGGTGACGTTACACTTACGGTCTAAAACCTCTAAACCTTCTTGGGAGCAGCCGGAGAATAAACCTGGCGTTAAATATTTGTTTTTATGAGACATGAAAAAGAGCCACAAATGAATAGTTACGTGGCTGGCTGGATTTTGTCACCTCTGTCCCTTGCTACTCATTATTTTTGCCATTTTTTTAAATGAACTTTTAAAAAGTTCAAAACTTTCAAGTAAACGGTAAGGAAATATAATGAAAAAGCTGCTATAATCTAGCTGTTTTTTGTGTTTTAATCAGAGATCATAATTTCTAACATTTGATGAACAGAGGATGAGGAGTGTCGTGATCTGCCTGCGTCTTGGTTTCTTGGTCAAAAATGAATGACAATGTTCATTCTCACAACTAGATGTGGAACCTTCAAAATAAAACCTTAAAACATCAATATTATTTTCCTGTATGACACAAGGAATTGCTGAGAGAAGCAATCTGGGTAAGTTTCTGTCAGTCTCACCTCTGAGCAAACATGTTTGAAGAATCTCAGCAGTGGCGTAGAAGGGCAGAGGGTAAGACAGAAGAGCTTTTGCAAGAAGACACAGATTGACAACAGGTCGAAGGTTAGGGGGCAGGTTGTCAGTGATGACTTCACTGGTCTCTGGTCCCCAAGTCAACACCGCCTGCAGGGAAGAAACACTTCAAAAAAAATGTGTCTAAACCAGTGCGCCCTGTTTTCTGTCCCATCTGCATTTGAAATTCTGTCTGTGCCAGATAAATAGATACAAGGCATCAAGTCATTACTAACCAGTAATGAAAAAGTAGTTTTCATGATGCATGCAACTCCATGGGTCCACCCCAGCATGGTGTCAAACTGCCCTCTGTCCTCCATGATGCCCTCTAATGGAGGGAGGAAGATCTGCGAGGTGTAGGAGAAGATGATGACACCTACTGAGACAATGAAGTCTTCTGGGTCCACAGACAGAGAGAGGAAGGACCAGGACCAGTTGCTGGCACAACTCAGACAGTACAATATGACTAACAGGCTGACAGAGAAAAGAGATAAAAGCAAAAGGTACAATATTCTTAAAAAAAGATTTTTAAACATTTGGGAGACTTAAATTTGTTCCTTTACTGCAACACAGAAGAAAAAAAAACACACTTGAGAGTGATGCTGGAAAGTTTCCCATCATCAGTCATTTGATTTTTCCCGTCTTAATTCCAATTTCCTTAGTTTGCAATAAATCATTTGCCTTTGATTTCTGCTTATGATGATGGTGTTGTTATGCATAAACTTACAAACCTGAAATTGTTCTTTTAGAGAACTAATGTTTTGAATTACTGACTTTTTACTCAACATTTCAGATCAACTAATAACTAGGAAATTCGTGGATAATCATTAGATCAGTTGTATATATTTAACAGCTTAAACTCAGATTGCGATGAGTCTGTCATTTCCATGCGCATCTTTGTTCATTTCAGGTGCCTGTCTTGGCGCATAACCCACGGTCTTCAAATTATTTATCAAAAATATCACAGAAAACTCTTTGACTAACATACTCAGTGATTAAATGAAGATGTCCTTACTCTAATGTATTTAACAAACAAAAACATGATGCTGGAGTATTGCTGGAATTCCAGGAATTTCGACATTTCTAGCCCTTAATCTGCTTAGCTTCCAGGTCATCACACCATTTATTAAACTATTGCTGCTGCCAGTACTTATAAACATTTTGTTGCTGTTGTTTTTAATGTCTTGCTGACCATTTTTTGCCTAGATTCCTTTTACTGCATCCTGTTGAATATCCATTTCCTGTCTGCATTCCTCCACTGGAGTCTTTTATTAAAGGAGGGTTTGGTTGATATGCTCAAATGCAGAGTTTTTCTTTCTTGCAACAAAATGCCTTCGGCTATATTTTGAGTTCAATATAAGAAAGATTTTTCAATAACCCCCTGACTTCTCTCTTTGGTTTGTTTATCTGTTTGATCAAAATTATTCAGAAAAGTGGGTAACCTTTCGAGCACCACTTTAGTCATATTGAGATATAGTTGCATGCTTTCGCCCATTTTTTTTCTCTGCTCCTGCAAGTTAATTAATCAAATGGTGCAGCAGAGTGGACTGAATAGATTTAAAAAAGTGTCTAGAATTACCATAGTCAGAACCAAGATGTAATGTGCCGGTCCGCAACATTAAAAAGCAAAAAAGGGACCAGCCAGTTCTCAGAACTCCTGAAGCAGACAGTATCTACCCCCATCTTTGCACTTCTTGGCTCAAAACAGGCTCAAAAAGGCATTAGAAATAAATCAAGCAAACAGGAAAAGTAGTCGGTAGCAGGTGAGAAAAGCGCCGACCCAGCAGCAGCTGCAACAAGATTGCAGGAGTGAGAATAAGAGCGTATTAGACTGTCCACCTCACATCTTAAAAATGATGCATTAGCCTTACATGTGTGTGGATCACTTTTTTTTTCTTTTCTTTTTTTTACTTTCCACAGTTCTGCGGGAAAAGTAAAATATGTCTCCACTTTATTTCCATCACCTTATCAGTATGTGAGCCAGGGAGCAGAGCAGGCTGAGCACGGAGACTGGTCTGAGATCAGTTAGCAGCAAGCAGGGCAGAAGGAACATCAGCGACATCAGTGAACACGCCGATCTGGGAGGAGCCACTGCTGACAGACTGTCACACAGCAGACTGGTGGAAACAAGCAGGTACAGGGTGCAGGTCATCAGCAGCTCAATTACCTAAAAACACAGATTTTCCCCGTGAATGTTGTAGGAAATCAAGAGCTTACATTGCCACGTTTTTTTTTTTTTTTTAATCCAGCAAACAATAATATTTCTTTACAAAAAGCTTTACATGATTCACAAAGGCACTTTGAATCGAATCGGTTGAGGGGATGGAAGTCAGCGGAGGTTTTTTCAGATATGATCTCTGGTGTGGGAGTGAGTGAGAAGGTGTGCTGAGGAACTCTTGGTCGGTCGTGGATTTTGGAGAGCGAACCCCGGATGATCCTGTCACGGTAATCGAATCAAGAAATGATAAATGTGAAAATGGAAGTTTCAGAGGTGCAGAAGGAGACTGAAGGGTAAAACGCGAGCAACGTTTCACAGACAGAGAAAGGCGGCTGTGAAGAGATTGCCGATGTGAAAAATCAGATTAATGTCAAAAACGAATCCGGGGTGGAAAACCTGTGAGGGAGTGTTTTCTGTGGGCAGGTGAAGCAAAAGTTCAGCTTTACCTGGGCTATATTGATCATCCATCCTCCAACTACTGACCAGTTTGGCCACAGTCCTTTGCAGCAGGCGTCCATGATATCCTGGTAGCTGTGTCGGACTCTGACCTTAGACACAAAGCTAGATTTTCCACTAAAAATACAGAAAAACAAATTCGCTATGACAATGTGATCTCAAACATAACAAGCAGTAATGTTAGGACCGTGAAACTAGACTGGCTTTAATTAAAATCTAAAAGCTTACCAAGCGTACCGTAATAGAAAGTTTACCTGCGTTCCTCTTCGTACAAACAGGCCACCAGCTTCCTTCCTGTGTGGTTGCAGACCCAGGCTGATAGAACAAGCACCATCAACCCCACGTAGCCTGACTGAACCAGAGCAAATGGCAATCCCAATACAAATATACCCTGAGGAAGTAAAAAGAGTTAAAAAATAAATAAATAAAATAATTAAAAAGGAATTTCAGAGACTGAAAAGAGCAAGCGGTAATAAGGCGATTCTAAAACTCTTTTAAATTTGAAGGTTGCAACAGAGCAGACTTAACATGATTCATAGTCTAATTTTCTTTGCCCTTTATTACATGAAAAATGATGCTCTTTTCATGGTTTTCGTTACTTTTATGTGTTTTGCAGTAGTTGAGAAATCTTTGACAGATGTGTAAAACACACACCTGAATTAAAATTGCATCCATTTTAAAATTCAAACTCAACAAAATTTCCTGCCTTCCACAAATTCGTGATCACTGTGAAGAAGGTTTAATAATCAAAAATATGGAAAACGTATTGAAAATAACTTTTACTCCTAAATGGTAGGGTTAACATGCATCTCTAATTAGAACAGATACGTAATAATAAATTATTATTATTATTATTATGCATCTATTTGCCAATTTGTTTGCAGTACCTTGTTTGTTTTTCTTAAAAAATAAACGTTTGATAAAAATTATCTGCAGATTCCAGTACAGAAAGGGCCTTGAAAAAACATTTTGACCTCTATGGGTGAAAAATATCACAAAGATATAAAATTTTTTGAAGTAATTATGAGTTTTTAAGTATTACAATCAACAATTTTTAAGTTAATAGGAAAATTACAACATATTTAAACCAATATGTTCGACTAATCGTGGAGCCTTTCAAATACAAAGTCAGTTTACCAAATTGAACAAACCTGCCTTCGATTAAGTTAAACTATAGTTCAAAGAAGTCAGAATGAAGTAAAATAAAATTATTACTGTAGTAGAACACTTCACATATTGCTACAGCACAGTCGTGCGTGTATTTAGAGAATTTTGTTGTGATTTCTAAAATGTGCATTTGCATGTCTTGCACAGGCTTGGAGTTAAATCTTGACTTTGACTGAGCCACTCTAAAACATAGATATGGATTTATTTGAGCCATTCAAATTAAAGCAGGTGAAACCAAAGTCTAATTTCTTATGTTTGTGCCATTAAAGCTGATCCGCATTACGATTTAACCGTCAGATCAGTCTCAGGTCTTCTTCTGTCTTCTGCACGTTTTCTTTCAGGATTACTTCTATTTTCCTCTGTCTGTCTTTCCATTAGGTGTATAGTTGTAATGTGACAAAAAGTGAAAAGGTTCGGTTAGTAAGATTACCTTAATAAGTCTGTATTTTGTACAGAGACCCATGAAATTATAAAAAAAAAAATAAATGAATCTAACTCTAATGGGATAAAGACAGCTGAACTGGAAAGGAAGAGAAAAGAGATGAAAGAACTGTTCATGATTGGATGACGAGAAGGCGAGAGGAGAGTTTTGGCGAGACGCCTGGAGAGTCTGAGGATGCAGGAGACCAGTAGGAGCAGAAAGAAGAGGCGAGTCGGGCTTTGGCCCGTCACCAAGACAGAAATGTAAGAGACTGCCAGAGAGGGAAGGAGGAGGAGGAGGAGGAGCGGGAAGGGAGGTGAAAGTGGGATTCTGGGGGACGTGCGGGGAGGGCGGTGGAGGACGAAGGAAGAAGAGGGACAAGAGCAGGAGAGAGGGTGGAAGGAGAGGTGAAGCCTCGCTGTAAGAGAGCACAAGGTTGGATGATGAGAGATCAGAGGAGGCAACAAGCTACTTTGATGGAGTTGTTGTGTTGCGAATGTTGGAACATGCAGATACACAGGCTCACTGAGAGCTCCGTGGAAGCACATCACACACACCGCAGACTCAAACACACACTGTGGATACATAAACAGACAAGTGAACATTCTCCCTTTTCAAGTTTCTATTTGGTAACTGCTGTCTGTTAGGCATATGCTGATGGAGCTTTGATGTTCAAATGGAGCGGCTGGGGATGAAAGCAGTTTGAGAGAAAACTGACACTCAAGTATTTGATTTCATCTCCCCTTGCTCTTCCACGGCACTTCTTTTTCTCTCTGTGTTTTTGCCAGCTAATTGGTTACTCTGAGCACAACCTGAAGCGGCTCCCAATCACAAAGGAGCACAATATAGGAAAGAAATACATCCATGATTGGCTCGAGAGAAAACAAATGGTTGTTTTGGGGGGGTTTTTTTATCATCTTTTCTCTCTCCAGTCTTATAACTAAGACATCATTTTTATACAAAGCATTCAACGATTTGTTGCTACAGCTGGACTTTCGCGGTGAAAATGTCCTAGTGCTTCACCCTTCGGGTCATTTCCAACATTTTATGCAAGCGCATGTCTATTCCTTAAAAAAAAAAAAGTGACAGGAAAATGTCTTTTCACTATCATGAGGGGATTAGGTGGAGCTGGTATGAGTAGAAACCAGACAGGTTTGACATTTAAATAACGGAAAGTGCCATTTCTTAAAATCAGTGAAATTCCCATGTCTGAGTCCTATCAAAGTGTGTTATTATTCTAGAGTCAATACAAGAGAGGAGGAGTTTCTGTCAAGAGAGACGGGCTTACTTTCCTAGACACTGTTTGAAAGTTAGGATCATTTCTCACTAAATATGAAAAAAAAAAAGAAAATGTTGCCTTAACCTTTATTTTACTATTCAGCTGCCGTCTTAGTAGATCAATGGTTAATGAAAGTATTAAGCACCAAATTATGCAAGATAAATTCCTATGCTCATTATTCTTAGTGGTGAAAATTACACTTAATCACTTTTTACAGAAAAAAAAATGAAAGCTTATTTTTAGTCCCTTGAAACTCCTTGAACCTCTCAGTGTCATGTTTGGTTCCAGTTTACGAACCCACATGCACGAACACAGTTAGGAGACGTCAGTACAAACAAGTTTATTGAAATGGGGAAAGGGTAGGGGAGAACACGGAGCAGGAGTCAGGAAGGGTTCACCAGTTCAGCCATAGGAGCAGATGAAGCGTTCTCTAGGAGCAGANGTGAATCCNGAGGCAGCGTGGAAGGTGAAGAACCGTTGGAGGGCGGACAGGTAGGTTTGGCTAGGTGGAGGAGCGAGCCGACAGCAGTCCGGAATAAAACGGTCCACGTAACTGGTTTCTCCGGGAAGGTCCAGGTAATCCTGACGAGAGGAAGAAACATAGAACTCGGTTATCTCAAGGAAACGCTCAGAGGGCCTTTCTAGGAACGATTGTTACCGGGGTAAACAAACACTCAGGCAAAGGAGTGTCCGCTCGCTGCTTCTTAAATCTCCACAGCCTCCGTCAGGTAATGCGCCGCAGGTGTGTCCCTGGGTTCGACCACGCACCTCTCCAGGGGCTCTGCTCCTAGGCGGCATCTGGTGGAGGAAGTGGGAAGCAGCAGGCTCCCAAAACAAAACCAAAAGCACAGATCCTGACACTCAGACTTTGTGACTTTAGTCAGATCTTATTTAAAAAAATAAAAAATACACACACATACACCACATGCTTGTGAAGTGTTAGGAAACAGATTAACGGTTAATCATCTCTTTTACAAATGAAAATTGGAAACGGTGGTGTAAGGGTCTTGTTTTAAAACCCCTAAATAAAATCGAGTGTGAACGCCATCAGAAGTGAACAAATAAGTAAAGAGAGAATCCACTAGTGTGACATTTGTCCTCAGTATAAATGGAAATTGGTGCAACCAACAGGACAACAGGGTGAATATTCTAGTTTGCCTTTCAAACCCCGTGGAAAATTGCACAACAACCTTATCACACAAATCCCGACCAACTTGGCAGTGGCAGAATCATGCTGCCATGCTGCTTCTCATTAGCAGGGAATAAGTTAAATACAAGAAGATCCTAAAAACAAAAAAAAAACAGACAGACTTTAGACAGATCCATCAGTTCACCTTCAAGCAAGACAACAAGAGAGCGACAGCCACACATTTAACGTCAAACACATGCGTGTGTTTGAAAGCATCAGTCAAAGTCAAGACCTAAATCCAGTTGTGAATCAATACAAGACTTGAACATTGATTTTAGCATATGCCCTCCATCATGTCTGACTGCTGTTTTGCAAATAACAAAAAGGGTCAATCTCTAGTTGTGCATATGTACATGTAGCTCTGCCTGCTGCACAAAGTAGTTTTTCTAAGACTTTTATAAAATAAATTTTCTTTCCATGCTGCTTCACAATTATGTTTTTTTTTTTGTGATGGTGTATTATGTAAAATCTCAAGAAAATAGAATTAATTATGTGGCTGTAGCACGACAAAATGTGACATTTTTAAGGGTTCTGAATATGTTTTTGGGAAACACTGTACAGATCATTTTCGAAACACAACTATCAAAACCAGTGGAATATTTTTGTAAATGTGTTTTGAAGCAGAAGAGTCACAAGAATAGAAAGAGAGCAACTGGACTGATTACAACACAAAAACAGGGTTAACTATCCTCACCAACTCGCTTCTGATTTAAAGAATCAAAATGAGCTCAGGTCCTGATTTTTTCAAAGCAATTTAAAGAAAAGTATCTCTTCTAAGTAGAAAGGATTTTTTTTTCACCGACTATAAAATTAATTTCAGGAATTCTTACTGCGATATAAATAAATAAAACAAAAATCTTCTCACAGGCGCACACGTTCTAGTGCTCCCTCATTAACAATCGGGTTGGATATCAAACCGAGTTTCAAAATATTCCCACCCTGAGAGCGCCGAGAGACACAGTTGGTTTTTTATGCATTTTTTAGCAGCAAATTTGCCCTATAATAAAAAGTTTATTATGGTGGCAGGCATTCAATTATAAGGGTATCAATAAATAAATCAAAGGAAAATGTTTGATAAAAGATAAAATGCTTCCATTTTTCACTTCTGTAAGATCTGCAAATTATCTTTATTGTGACAAAACAAATGGCAATTTACACAAATTTTACTGTATTTTTACTTTTTATGTTTTTAGCTGCAAGAATTAGGAGAGCACCATTAGTTTTAATAGGTAGTTTAAAGAATATGAAATGGTAAAATGTTTTTTTCATTGAGAAGGAAAAAGGAAAAACATCCTGGCACTCAGATAAATATACTCATACCAACAAACCATGCGTATATCATGCTTGTTTATCTTGTAATCATTATTTGTGCATGATAACTGTATTTAGAGCGACTAAAAATAATTTTTACATTGAAAACACAAAGACATCGAATGCATATTCCCCCCATCTCCTAAAGGGATGTGCACTGTCAGCATTTGCGTGTGTTTGTACGGCTGGATATTGATGCCCTAATGTCATAATGGATTCTCAACGGACCTGGTGACTCTGTCCAATTACACTACAGCCATTCATTGAAAGAGTACATTTACATGAGTGGTTGAATACAGCCCAGCATTTGCAGCATAATGAGCTATTAGTTTTACTGCAATGCAGACACTGTGTGACCAGGAGATTTTTTTTTTTTTTTTTTAATGATTTGATTCACACTTAATTTGATAATGAAGACGAGAGAGTGTCTGACAAACAGCCTCCGAGACTACAAAGCATTGTCTGGTAATGTTAAAAAAAAAATGCATACACACACACAATAAGAGCAAATTAAATAGAATGCAAAATGCTTGATGCTTTTTTAATGCAGTGAACAGCTTAACACCCGCAGCATTTGGCATTTACATTTTGCATTTGTCTTTTAGAGAAACGGCTTAAGAAAAGGTTTCCAAGAAAAAGGGGGAATGGTGTGTAACGTAGTAATCAGAGGGAAAACATTAGGGCTCTTAAAAGTTGCAATTTAGTCTTTAAAGTAGCACTGGTTTGAAATAAATAACTCAAAAAGAAAGGGAAACACAGTACAAACGGATCATTCTGAAACACTTAAGAGACTAGAGGAAGGTAAGCTGACCTGAGTGAAGTCTTCCCCCACCTCCGTCTTCAAATCAAACAAAATTAGAGTCAAACGTTTGCGCTGGTTTATGCAGCAAAAATGTTCATTTTAAAGATATTAATAAATATTTCCGGAGCTCGACGGTCAACGAGGACACACACACACACACACACACATTTCCAGAGTCAAACAAATAGGGTGTCAATCAACTGTGCTACAAAGATTTTGACGCCACCTTTGTTTCATTTGAGGGGAGATGGGTGGGGGCGACTTCACTCAAGTTCCTTTCACTGGGTGTTGCTGGTTGACCTTTTACTAATTTGCTGCCTACAGCATCTTGTGTTTTATTTTGGAGGTAGACGGTTAAAGGTGTTTGCAGACATAAATATTTGCTACTTTTAATGTTTTTGCTCACAAACCAATTACTTCGTGTTAGTTTGGGTGTCGATTAAATTTAAAGTGAAGGTTTTTATTCTTGCATGAATTGAAATGTACATTTTTGGGGAACACGCGATCTGCTTCCGCGTACCTGGATGGCATTTGTGACGTTCCAGCTGGCCTCCCAGGCCGTGATGGTGGGGTGGGAATTCAGAGCTGTGGCATCAGTGCTGAGGCTTCGAACTGGAGAGGCCAGATTTGTGGTGACATGCTCTTTTTGAAGTGAGATTAATAGATTATGAGTGCCCGTCGTTTCATCCTCTTCATTTTCCTTATTTCTATCTCCGGAGAGTTTCCCGCTAGAAGACCTGTGTACCATGCAGAAAGTACACTTTTTCTCTGGATTCTGGTTTAAACTTAAATTCTTCTCCCTCTTGTCTCCTTGCATCTCAGACAGTTGTTTTCCCTTGCCGAAGCCTTTTGTATTTTTGATTGGACAGGAGTTTGCTGAAGTTACATCAACAGATGTGGAGAGTACTTCAGCTCCAGTTTCTTCAAACGTTGGACTCTCCAGCCCGGAACTAACAGTGGATCTTAAACTTTTGTGTTTATCCTTCAAGGTTTTGCCATCTTCATGTGTGAAAACCTGTCCATTTTCACCTGTGAATGATTGGCTTTCTTTGGCGTCATCACTCTGGGGATTATTTCTGCTTTTGACGCTTTTAACAAGCGATCTTTCACCCTCGTTGTAGGTTCGATTCAATTCATCGTTGCATGTCAGAACCAGCGTCTCTTCATCTTCTTCAAAAAGCCTGTCCAGGAAAACCTTTCAAGTGAGTCCCTACAGCAGCGTCATTAATAAAAAAATCACATTCTTACACTGTGGTCAAGCTCAGAACTATTCAGACAATCTAGGAATCCCCCCAAAATTTGGTGAGTAAAACCATGCAGTAAATTCAGAATTGTGAAAAAGCAAGACATACTATTCCTAACTGAGAAAATAGTTGTCCATCAAGCAGTGACTTACCTCGTTGTCCGATCCCAGACTAATCTTGACACGGCTCGTCCCCACAGAGACCAAACTACCCTCCAGGGCTGGCCAGGGCTTCGACCCCCCAGAGGGGACCCCATCTTCAGCTTTGGCTCCAACACACTCTGCCTTCATGTGTTGTGAGGTTCTGAGTTATAACCCCACTCACGTTTGAATAGATATGTGCAGCCAAACAAACACACAGACACACACACACACACACACACACACAATGTGGGCCCAAAAGTTTTCAAATAAGGCATTCATACACAGTGATTGACAGGTTGTTGAGCTGTAACTTTATAATATGCCTGTGCTTTCAGCAGTGAAGGACTAAACAGGTTTAATGGCCTTCACAGCAGGTTTGTTTACACTCAAATAGGCAGTCGATGGGAAAAAATCCTTTTCAGGGAATTTATTTATTCAGATTCATGTACTCTCCTGAAAACAGTTGATCAAAATTTTATATTTTGGTATATAAAGATGTGCGCAAAACTTTCAAATCATGATTTTATTTTCTAATTTTTGGTGCTGAAAAGTCAAATAAATCCTTACTCATTTTTTTTTTTTTTAACTGAGAATAATTTTTTGTTAAGCTACCAAATTTGGACCTTTAAATCTTTGAGACATTCTTTAGACTACTAAATTGTGTAGTAGATAACTTGGTAAATAATTATTTTTGTTACCATTTCAAAATAACAGAAAATAGTAATAATACCACAGCTTGACAGAAAAATATTTTACCATAATGAGTCTCAATCTAAGTGATGTAAACATGTTTTTAAACTTGACCTTCAGATATTGTTGAGGTGAATTTGGAGGTCAAACTTACCTTTTGACCTCCACTTAACTCAAATGTGTTAGTTAACCAATTAGGGGGTTTTCCCTGAATGCTTATGGAGACAGTGTATTCTGTATGTAAACTTTAAAATTAAAAGAAAATTACAAAAAAATCTCTAAAAACATTCTCGCTGACTTTTCAGGCATGTACCAAATAGAAATAAGTTTGGTAATTAAAAGTATCTTTTTATTCAGTTTATGTGAACTTCTGGTTTCCACTGTGCGTGTGAACGACCGAGGTGTCCAGAAGAGTGCAGTAATCTCAAAAACACCTTAGTAATGCTGACAGTGCGGTCAGTGTCAGCATCCCTGATAAACCCACGTAAACTCTAAAACTTTTAAAGACCTTCTGAAAGCCTGGGGAGGTAAAGATGCTTTAAACACTGCAGGAAAGTCTTTCTAATTGGAAGCAAAACAAAATTAGTGTGCTTCTTAGCTCTGGGCAGAAAAGATCTCCTGCAGTGGTCCGTGCTGAAGAAACTTCTCACAGAACATGTTGTCAGATTACGATGCAAAGTGAATGTTAAGTGTTTTCTATAATGGCTAGCATTTTGTGAACCGTCTTTCTGTGATTAATCAGCTCTCCCACAATAGAGCCAGTCGTCTTTAGCTTGTTCAGCATTTTTAAGTGACTGGTTCTGATGCCGTTGCTTCCCCAGACGACTGCAGAATGGTCTGCACTTTTAACTACGGAGTTACAGAAAACGGAACATTCTTTCTACAGATGCTCAAGGACCTAAAGCTTGTTCGAGAAATACAAAAATGCTTTTGCTGAATTGCCGACTCGTTGACCATGTCACTGTTGCGTCTTCTGTGCAGTCCAGGTGAATAAACATAGATTTTTATAGTCTTGTATGCTGCTTTGCAACATAAATATGTTAAGACATGGAGTGCTTGGAGTTTATGTTTTGAGCGGCATGTATAATTTAGGCTGCACACACAACCAAGCTGTTTGTTGTTTTCATAGCAGCATCCAGCTGTGTTTTAGTAGGTTTTGCCCCAGAATGTGGTGAGTTGTGCAGGGCAGCAGGAGGAGCCATAGAGCAGCAGTGTCTGTAGCTTACAGGACTCAGCAGCACAAAAACTTCTCTCAAGTTTCAAAGTATTTCTGCGCACAAATACATCTTTTCCACATCTACTTTCCCCCTCCCCCCATTGTATGCTCTGTTTGTGTTAACCAGAACGGAGTTGATGTAATATTTCATTTGCTTTGTAGTATTGAGGCTTTTATCTCCAAGCTCTGTTTCAGGAAAAAAAAAAAAAAAAAAAAAAGCGCTGATGTATTTTTTAGGACCCTTTTAGATGCCGTGTTTTAGTGCCCGTCTCACCTTGAGAGGTTTTTTTTTAATGTCTATCCATCTTTATATCCATCCATCTCTCTGCGCTATTTTTGAAGGGAGAGGAAGAAGGAGGAGAGAGAAAAGGAGGAGGCCTGCAGGAAAAGTTTGGCTCAGCTTGTGTCAAACTTTTCTGTGTCATTCAACACCAAAGCGCCGGAGAGGACGGCGCTCACTCCGCGGCGCGCAGCAGGGCATCAAACCACACAGAGCGAGATGGATCGAGCACTACTTCTTTCCCTACTGGTGCTTATCGACGCGTTGCTATGGCAATGCTGCCATACCCAGCAGAGAGGTGAGTCACCAGAGAGCGATAGGTAATCGATGCTCCAGTAGCCGCCGCTGTTGTCGTTTGAGGGTGACATCCAGAGCTCGGTGTCGTTCACAAAGGTCCTTCTTCATGCCCCGAACTCCACTTTACAGCTAAAAGACCGACTCAAAATCTGACACAGACTTATGAAACGCACTTCCCCTGGTCTGGCTTTTCCATTTGCGTGTAGCCGAACTACGACATCTCGACGTACACCAGGTTCCCACGGCAACGTTTCAAATGGGATCAGATGAAACTCCCGTTATCAATAACCCAGGAACCACATGTGAGCCGTAAAGACTTGCAGAGAGATTTTCGGCCTGCTTGTTTGCTCTGCTTGAGAAACAAAGAGATTACAGACACACGTGTTATTTCTAAAGCCATAAATTACGTTGATTGCTTGAACTTTTCTACGTCATGACCTTTTAAAGATCCTCTGGTGATAAGAGGCAAAAAAAAAGTAATTTGGATGCTTTAGTCTGCAGCTGGAAAACTATTAATCAGTCTTTCAAATTTAACTTTTTAATACTATCAATATTTTAAGATAAAAGGCACCTGTTATTTAGTAAGTTACATTTTTTTGTTAAATGTTGGAGTGTTTGACTTCTTAGGTCATTGTGATTTAATACTGATATCAGAATCTTGTCTGACACCGCAGTAAAAAATCTTGAATCTATACTTTTTTAAGGATTCAATTCAGGGTTTACAAAAAAGAAAAAGAAAGTCATTTTTATTCAGCCACATATAAATTCCAGATTATATCGAGTCAGACTTGCAGCATTCACTCCTCCTGGATGACAAGTACTTGTGTCATTGACATTACAGCACTCTCTAGCACTGAGCATGCATGTGGTGACAGTGGAGAGGAAAATCTTACCACATATTTTGGTGCATCTAAAAGTATGAGTTTTATATCATCTCCGTCTAAATGCACAGAAAAGAAGCGCATTTACAATGTTATAAAGAGCAAGTGTAATAGAGAGCAGTATAATGAATGTAGATTTTACAGTGTTGTTGATATGTGATCTTGTTTTTCTTCTCGTCCATGTTACTCGTTGCGTGTGCTCCAGAACACACAACGAGTAACATGAAATGAATTAGCATTATGCTATTCATAAGAATAGATTTATTGTTGGTACAATGCATACAAATGTGTAGAGCAATGACATTAGGTTCATAACTACACATGCATAGACTCTATGATGCACAAGTACTATGATATCATATAGTAGTCAATGTTTTTTTGTTGTTTGTTGTTGAGAAAACTAATGGACAGATGCAATTTAAAATTTGGTTGTGCTTTTGTCGCTTGGCAGTCAGCATTGTGTCTTGATATGGAGCAGTAAATGTTCTGGGGGGGAAAACTGCTTTTGAGTCTGCTTGTGTGGGTGCAAAAGGCTTTGTAGCATCTACTTGTTGGCAGTAGTTTAAAGAAGTGCTGGCATAGGTGGGTGCAGTCCTCATGTGTTCCTTACTGGGTCATTCCTGTGATTTTTGTTCATATTCATACTGTTGTAAGGTGATATGAACTACAACTTTTCAGATATAGTTTCAGTGCAGTCAGATTGGGGGCAAAGAGGCGCTGGTTTGTCAGCAGGAGAGAGAAAAGATAATACACAAAAACTTAAAAAAGAAATAATGGGATTTCTCAACAGGTGTCAATCTAGTTTGTGTTGTCCATGAAATATAAGTTACCCAAAAGTGTAAAACATGAGATTAACGTCCCAACACTGTAGTTCTGTGTCTGCAAACTTTAGTTATGATTTAACCCATCTGTACATACTTTCTTTGTCAGTTCTTCTTTGTCCAAGATGCACCGATCCTTACAATAAACAGCTCTTTGTGTCATGATGTCTGGAGGCTGCACTGGATCAATAGGCATGGAGGCTGAGTTGTCAAGTGAATTTGAAGATTTTAATAAAAATGATGAAAATATCAACTTTCAAAAACCATGGGGAGCCAGGGCAGAACAAAAAAATACATATAATCCACAGAGAAAAACCATCAAGGCCCCATTTGTTCCCCCACATGGTGTGAAACAGGGAAGTAATGGAAGAACCAGCAAGGAGTAACAGGAGAAGAGGTGCTTAAGTACTGGGAGATTGAATCCTGAACAAACAGACCTGTGTTAATGAGCTAACAGGCTGCAGGTGTGAGGGGAGAGAGACAGGAAGTGACACAAGGGGTGAAGGAGAGTACATAGTTAACTAGAAAATAAACATAATTAAACTAGAGTAACAAAGAATTACGCTAGATGGTAAATAAACTAGAATGACCAAGGGCTGAACTAAAATAAAAACAAAACCAGACTAATCTAATCAAAGAAAGAGACAGAGGAAAAGAGAATAAACAAACCCAAAACCAACTCAAACAACCTGAGATCACGACACTCCAGTATTAAGCTTTTCTTCTACACGCACATTTCTGTTTGAAAAAGATAGAATTTTTAGTACAGTTGGGAAAAAAAAATGTGTTCAGAATTTGATGATCTCAAATGAGTAAGGAATGAGACTTGAATTGATTAATCTACTTGTGGAACAAATCGTGCCATGAAATGAACCAGAAAGAACGACCGCTCTTTTATAGGGTGTGTGTGTGTGTGTGTGTGTGTGTGTGTGTGTATGTGTGCGCGTTTGGGGCGTG